CAACGTTTGAAATATGTCTACTTTTCATTTTTTATTTGTTTTCCTCAAAGTAAAGAATTTTTTTCTAAATGACATTTTTCATGTCAATCAAATACACACTAATATTATCATAACATAATATATGAAAAAATAATTGGCATCAAAGTTTATAGCTTACATTTTGTTTTTAGCTCATGTTTTTAGAAAACAACAAAATATACCTGATAATTTTAATTTGTTAGTTTTTTAAAAGGAAAAAACCAAATGGCCAAGGCCACATGCAGCAAAACCCTTTTTTCAAAGGAAAAATTAATAAATAAAAGTTTAACTATAACTCATTTCAAAACTAAATTAAAATGTTAAAATTTCAAAAATCAGACATTTATTAAATTTTATTTTTGAAATAATTAATTGAATATAAGGTCACAATTTTATACAATTTAGTCACAAATTATCAAATTAATTAGTTACAAATAATTTTTCAATCACAATTAAAATTTTTATAAATAACAAATTATTTAACAGTCACAAATGTATCAAATTAATAGGTCATCTATTATTCGTTGATCACAAATAATAACAAATCTTATAAGTTGCAACTTATTTCATGGTTACATCAAAATAATTGGCCACAAATTACGTTTAGATCACAAATTAACGAATTTTTAGGTCACACGTTATTTATTTGTCATAATTTATATATTTTATTGGTCACATTATTTATTGATCACAAACAATCAAATCAATTTGTGACAACCACCAACATTTGTGACTACCATCTCACCACTGCTACCAATAGCATCATCGCTACAACCATCGCAGCAAGAGCCATCACCGCCACCATCTTTATCAACAAAACCCTCATCTCAAACACTGCAACCAATAAATACCACCAGCCAGCCTACCACTCCACAACCACAATCACAACCACAACCCCCACAAAAAAATCTCCAAATTTACCTCTGGCACTACAACCACTGCTTGTTTCAACAATAACCACCATCGTCACCATCACCGTCGCATCAACCACGGCACCACCACACACAACCCACCACAACAACATCACCTCCCGAAACAAACCAACATTGCTGCCTCCTGGCTCCACCACTGCCACTTCCAACAAACTACTATTTTGAACTTCAAAACTATCACCTCCACCAATACAACATGTACCACAACTGTTTGATACCACCAACCAAACACAAACAACAGCGCCAGATCCACCACCTCAACAATGCCCGAATCCATCATCATCACCAAATCTACCCACATCATCGCCAACAAAAAACACACTAAAATTTACAATAGATTGCCAAATACACCCAAAAAAAAAAAAAAAAAAAA